AAATGATGGAAATTTCATTTCGATTCCACCGAACTCTTACGTCCATCAGTAGATTCCTTTGGTACCAACGGCGACCGGCTAGCGCTCTCGGTATCACAGTTCAGCCCCACTAGCCCCCGAAAGCTAGAACGGGCGTGAGACCTAAAAGTAATTTATTTGTAACGAATCCGGCTTCCTTGTAGTCGTCGCATCCTATTCCTTCAATGGGCTTCCGGAACGCTAGATAATATCACTTGCGCGCTGCTATATCAACATGGGTACGTTCGTTAGCAGTATTCCCGCCGCTTCATTGCGGTTTGTGCAGAGAAATCTTTCTACTATCATTAGTCCATCGTCCCACGCTGACGATCGCCAACCAAATGGCTCAGCAAACAGTGAATATTATAAAGAAACAGTCATACAACTACACGCCATCACTATTACAAGTACATCATATATACTATGCTTAATATACGAAAGGACGAGAATCAGTGTCGTAGACGCATTCAAGGCTGGAAGGCAACGAGCTGACACAGACGGCTCCCGCAACAGCGAACGTTTAAAGTGATTGGCGTTCGAAGACATAGTCGCATCGTATCAATACGATATGAACATAAAGTAGATGTTTATAGATAACACGAACGAGATGATTAAGTCCACCTATAAACGCCTGTAATGGAACGCATTGTTCGCAATGGCGTTCCTTACACAAGAGGTGCGTTGTTCGGAACGCTGCCAACTAGTTCGTAACGGTCGAAAATAATTAGCAAGATGGCGTTCTTATAGACATACGGTTCATCTAACGTCGCTCAAGGTACCTTAGGATCAGTAGGATTTATATCGTATCATAAAACGTTCGACATATCTGTCGAAATAGCTGTGAAAATCACAATATGTTTTCATAAGGCAAAACAATTTACAGTAACGAATGTAATAAAACGAGCATATTCTATGCAAAATTTTCGAGGTAAGTAATAGACAAATCATAAAAACATTTTTTTGTCTGTAACTGCTAGGGCGTTACCTTTGCAGCGGCCTTTGGCACGGTGCAAAGCAATCCTTAGTAAGTATCATATAAATTTAAGTATAATATCGCGAGTACAGAGTAATAACTCATGTTAGATGAGTGCTACACACCTAGATGCCATATGTCTGCCATATATAGGGAAAGAGAGACACAGAGCGAGGGACGGAGAGGAAGGAGGGGCTAGAGCGCGTCCAAAACGCTATCAAGAGCAGTGTTCGCTAGTGAAATCGTAAGATAATAGTGATCGATAATGAAGTAATTATCTCAATACCATTTTAAGATAAGGCTGTCATTTATTTTGGCGCCGGCACAGCTGATGCAGGGGGTCGGAGTCCAAAAATCCTATTTTTCAGCATCGTCTGTCACCAACTGAATGTCAGTCAAATACGGAGCAGCAGTCTTTCAACGACTACACGGCACGGCTTTTGGGTAAATAGTTTAGAGAGGGCAGGAACTACTGATACAGCTACCTGGCCCTTTCAAGACCCTCCAAATCGTTCTTATAGCAGCAACGAACTGTTGTAAACAGCAGAAATAAAACGAGGCTCTGAAAATTTGATCTCATAAGCGGAGAACTGAAGATTTAAAATCGCACAATACGAACGCACTACAACTTGGGCGTATTAGAAGCTACGAATGCCCAAACTACTCAATGTCTAGAAAGCTTTAGAGGCACAAAAAAAAATTATATAGAAATTGAAAGAATTACTTCCGTAGGTTAAATGGCACTGCTGTAATCAGAACTAATTAGATTAAGTGACAAATCTGACCCAGAATATTTGAAATTGAACAAAATTGAGCAGCTGCACAACGCTCTAGACCAAGCGTCGACCCGGAAAGGAAAATCTAGACCTCACTTGTCAAAAACAACTTGATTTAAGCCAGTTCTCGCACGCTCGTACTTCCGTCCACAAGGTGCGTCCATTGAAAGCTTCGTCATGCCATTGTTATTGTGTGTTATAGCATAAGTAATACAAATCAATAAATCTCAGGCAAGAGCTACTTGAAGTAAAGGGGGTCAACCTATTCGAATTACTATCCCTTCCGTACCGAATGATCGCGCTTTAATGATAAAATTTAACGGGAATGCAGATTAGGTCATCATCTATTTTATTTCCTCTTCTTCCCTATGTATCATATATATATATATATATATATATATATATATGTATGTACATATATATAGATATATATACTTTTGTTATTGAGCTATAGTACTGTTTGTAATAGTTTGTTTCTTTTTTCCGCTTGTTCGTCTGTTGCGTGTGAAAAATATTTAAATCGCCTCTTGCGGGTTGTATGTGGCCCGTTCGCTTTATATTTGATTGGCCGCTTCATCGTCCGGCATGAGCGTCGGTTGCACGTCGCTTGATCGGACGTCTGGTTGACGGGAAATCCGCTAGATAGCTGAACGTCTGGGGTGGTTAGGTCTCGTTTTATCATCTTGAAGGTGTCCGATCCTGTTGTTATTTTTGATGTTTTGACGCGGACCGCGTGCGTGTCACATGGAAATACATTTAATATTACGCCAGCTACAAAGAACCGCCGTTTTGGCGTAGACATTATGTTTATCGTTCTTCTGTCAAAGCGGGTTCTTGTCGGAGCTCGCAGTTGACCCACTTCAGGACACGCTGTGTGCACCTTTGTCGTCGGCTGTCTAATGTTCATAGCTCAATATACATCAAATGGATGTGAACATGTTAAAATAATTATTGAAGGAATGTACTGCATTCAATGAATTCTATTTGGCCCATAGCCAATTTAGTCGCCTCCAACCAGTCGACATTATATGCGGTTAAATTTAGTTAGTAATGTAGATTACGTGTTCTATTGCCACGAACTCGTACACAGGTTTGTTTGGCGCAACGAATCGCCGTTAGTATCATCGGATTTCACTGAAGGGGGTAGACACCCCCGCTCAAAATTACTTAAGAATAAGAAATTGCACTTATACGCGACTCATATGTTAATTGTAGATATCTACTTTGTTCGTGTCGCCGAACGTAATTATCTCTATACCGTAACTAACATATTTATAAGGGTTGTCTCCTACCTGCCTAAAGTGCGGATCATCACAATTAAAAACGTTAACGACTTTATATATACATATATAGAAAGTAGAAAATGGTAGCTCCCCAAGTGACGAACGCGGATTCGTCTCTCTGATGGTGTGGAGCCAGCGTAAAAGTCGCCGGGCAGATATACGGACGGAGTTGCTCTGCCATACCGGCTCAGTCTCGACAAAGCAAAACAGAAATCTATAATTCTGCTTCAACAAATTGTTCTCAGACAATACGTTATACTAATGTAGTGACTCGGTCCTGTATAACAAACTCCATGCAGCGACCCCGCAAGGGCAGCAGCGTCAGGATAACTCGCCCAGAGTGACCCCGTTATCACTTTCGTTGTCACCGCACCTAACGGCTATTACCGGTTTCTAATAGTACTCAAAGCTATTACCACTACCCCCAGCAATATCATCTCAAAGAGTAATTGTAGGTACAAAATGGGCAGATAGATAGAGCGCCAGTTACCCCATTAGACAATCCATGTTCAAGTTTTCCTCCTGGGGGACGATAGGCGAGCGGCGAACTAGGTCAGGCCGACTGGCCTCATCGCATGGCATTGTTCTGCTTTACGTAAAAGAAGTAAACAGCAACGTCGTCGCGGTGCGTCGTACTTGTGACAAACATCCGACTACTAACTGAAAAAGCAGATGCGAAGGAGACGCAGCAGCAGCATAGTACCATAGCGAGTGCCAATGGGCGAGACAGGTATCGAAGTGTTAAAATAGCCGTTGCTTTCTTTGCTACCGTTGATCCCATCGTAGAGTCAGTACAGCGAACGGCAGTGTCCGCCCGGTACAGCCAACTTACGTATATATATATATATACGTTTATATGTATCACAAACTCAACCTATTAAATTGGATGCACCGAACGCCGTGAGTTATCGCTTAGACCCGTTCCTGATGAGGCTGATCGACTGTGAGAGCGAACAGGACATGGGTTTGGTTTGTAGCTAATAGACTAGCAGTACATTTTCACCGCTCGTGTTATAGCGCGCACGATTAACGACTCGTGTTTCGTGCATAGGACAGAGAGCATCAAATAGGTCTGATTAATTAAAAAAGCTGGATTGAAACAACTGAAATGAACGCCAGTGGAGTAGGCGGTTCTACGAATTGTCTAGCTAAGACAATTGATTAGATGACGGCAAGTGCTAATGACGTTTTTCGTTGTTCAGGTCTCAATAGGCTGCTTGACCTAGCAATAGGCTATTTCTCTGCAGTCGACAGCACGTACGGCCTGCCATGTCTATCTAGGTAACAAGCCAGTTACTTGCCTGTGCCAATTTCCATTGGCGACGGCGCAAAAATTATAAATTTTCGTATAGTTTATATGGTAGCTTGCCTGCCGACTACTCGAGAATGTTGCGTTTGTAGTTTTGTAATTAATCTAACTCAAGATTCTATTTTCCTACATTGCAATAAATGAAGTAGCATGTTCCGAACAAAATTTATTATAGAACAAATAAAAATAATAATACTGAAGTGGGACATTATAGAGACTACATTTTTGATCGAAATCGACTTTTTGTGGAGTGTGTAAGCGGCAAAATGGATTTTCTTTTGCATCTGGACGGTGTAAGGCCGGAAGCTTCAGCTAAGTACCGGTGCAAATTTAGAACCCAGGTGCAACATCTGGTGTCGAATCGGGTCCAGCGAGTGTTCTGATCCGGCGCCCTATTCTACTTACGTGTTCTGCTCTAATGCTGTCCTGCTACTTATGCTAATGTAAGCTTGATACAGCTGAAATAGTGGTATGAACAAACACCGGAATAAAGAATAGTTTTCCTATTTTTTTTTTTTTTCTCTACGCTAGCCGTCAAACAGAAGCCTAAACGTCTTCTTGGGTTCGCTCCCTCCCACAGAATCTTCAATAAAAAAAATATGATGACATACCTATATACTATTTATATATTAATAGCTTACCATTGACGTCGCAAGGTGAGCTCTCACTTGTTGGGCAGTTTGTGTTGGGAGGGGTACAATCCGCTACGTTAGTCACCGTTGCTGTGCTAGTCGTTGCTGTTATGGTGATTGTCGTCGTTTTAGTGCTTTTCAGTGTATCCTTAGAAGGCGAAACCGACGGTGGGTTAGCTACACCGTTCATTGCGGATCGTATCTGCTGTCGGGCTTCTTCGGCGACTCGGGAAACACTCTCGACAAGATAGGGCGGCTGGGAAGTCGCGATGATATCAAACGTTCGATTGAACTCACTAGCGTCTTCTATGACCGACGGCGATTGCTGGCCGACCGATTCAACTGCAGGAGACTTCGCAATCAAGCGAAGACCACTGTTTTTCGAGCGTCCCGCTCGGGCAATCTTCGAGGGTGCCGCAATACGCGACCGACTACCTTTCGGTGTACTTGGACTAATCAGCTCCTTTGTTGAGCTCGAATTTGACACTTTAGGAGGGCCGTCCTCGGGCGTTTCGGGCGACCCAGCGATTGACCCTGCAGAACGACCTGTCGACTCAATACTTGTCTGCCGTTCGATTGGAAGGGTTATTTGACGGCGTGATGAGTTTTGAGTTGTACCCCTGACGAAGCTGCCGGGCATTGGTAGTTTCGATGATTTGTGCGGCGACTCCTTGCAGGCTATAACATTTTTTGAGATTAAAGGACCTGTTGGACTTGGAGGATCCAACTTCACTGGTGAAAAAATCTGTTTAGTCTTCGACTTCCTTGTATATTTGGTGATCGCCGATGAGCTGTTACGGCCCGCACTCGAACCACATTGAGCTCCTTCATCCTTAATGATATCTTTGCCACTGCTGCTGCTGTTAATGTTATTATTAGGATTAATAGTAGTGATATTATTAAGCTCCTTAACTTTGGCAACTTCACTCGGTTTTCTGAGCTCCCTTCGTAGTGACTTTCTTACGGGCTGATCACGTTGCAGATCTTTCACCTTGCCACTGACATCGCTATTTCCACTAACTGAGGAATCAACCACAGGCAGTTCCTCGACGGGCGCCGTGGAGTCCTCCTTTGTGAACGTCTCGCTCCTTTGCAATGGAACGGGTTTCTTCCGAATGAAGGTTCCTGAGTCAACTTCGTCGGAGAGGCTTGACTGTCTAGAGATTGTGCGTTCATCGGCGCACTGCTCACTCAGATTTGCAGAGTTCGTTATACGGTTCCGCCATTCGTTTGTCGATTCTACTGCTCTGCTCTCGCTACAAGCAAATATTCCAGTCTGTGAATTCGGCTTTCCCGCAGATGGGGTTATCGGTCGCGAATGAACATCCTGCATTGAGCCAAATTTTCTGGTAGGCTCAGATCGTTTCTGGCGGGCTTGTGTATTTTTTTCGGCCGCAAGATCCATTTTGGAATGATCTCCAACCAATGCCTCCGCACTGGAGGCACGCTCGGCGGTGGACGAATATAAAAGCGGTCTCGTCAGATCTGTAGAGGCCCTCTGCATGAAGGCTAGCCCTGGAGTATACGAAACTGGCCTGGCAACAGTATTTTTCTTCACGCGACGAATTACCGCGGGATCCCTTACTGGTGAAACGGAAGCAGGCCTGCAGCTATTTGGCAGTCGAGACTCAAAGCGTCGCCTTGTCGTCTTTGGATCTTCTAGCTCGATTGTGGGTCCGATCAGTTTTCGCAGCGCCGCAGGTTTTACGTTGGAACAAATACTATTACTGTTAATGGCACCACTGCTGTTATTTGCGTTATTCGGCGTGCCGCTAGTGCCGGCCTTAATCCCGATGGTTTCGAAGATCGTCGAATCGACCGTGAATTTGTCATTTGAAGCCTCTGGAGCGTTCAATAAATGGTTGACTGGTGAGAGATCGCCAACAGCTGAGTCGTCTGAGCATGGACTTTCAATGAGTTGAACTGGCGCATTTGATGGATTATCCACAATAAGTCCATGCGGTTTTCGTGGTTTCATTTCATCTATTTGAGGTTTCAGTGGAGGGTACGTTCCATTAAGGAGAACGTACTTAAACTCGTCCTGCAGAACTTCGCGGGATTTCCGTTTGCTCTGCTTCTGCCTAGCAGCATGTTGATCAACTTGCTGTAGTCCCGACATGGAATGCTGGTGGTGATTATGGCCAATGTGACCCTCCTTCAAAAATAATGGCAAGCTTGAATTCGATTCGAGCGAGTCTTGCTCCAGCCCTGCGCGCGATGATGGACAGCTGATATCGGAGCGGCTGCGTATCCGGAAGCTAGGTAAAGTTGTGCATCGGCGTATGACCACAACATCCTTGTCATCTTCGTCATCGATCTCGTTGTCTACCGAAGACCACTCCGGCGAGGCAGGAAGATGTTGAGGTTGACCCTTGACAACAGCAGGCGCCGCCGATGTCATATCAGTTGGCACGGAAGCCCACTGCGAAATGAAGCCCGTCGAAACTCCGTCGTTCATCGCGACGATGTCAGATTGCACAGACGGCCACTGGGACAACTGCTGTTCAGCGGCGGAGAATCCACCGCCGCCGGCGCTGCCACCAGGCCCATTTGTGTCATCATGGGCCCCTCCACAACCGCTAAATCGGCTGTTCCCATGGCTATGGCCACCGTCGCGGCTATTACATTCGTGCCGTTCAGGGTCGCCTGTCCGGATCACATCGACATGCGCGACACTCGGCGGAAGTACGCCCTTCTTCTGCTTGTCGCGCAACGAGAAGCGAAATAAGCGGCTGAAAAACGCCGGTTTCGTCGGCGACGGAGGACATTCTGGCACGGTCCCCGTACCGGTATAGTTGCCGTGAAAGATCACTGGCTTCTGGTACGAGTTACAGCCCGGATGAGGCGACGACGTCGGACCGGCCTGTTGGCCCTTGTGTGTCACGGCCTGTCTGAATGACCACGTCCGTCGCAATGTCGGTATTCTCTGATCGTCGAATAACAAAATCGAGTCGGGCCGAAGATCGCCATCACGGGTCGCGTAGCCTGGATGGCGCAGCGACATTGACCGCGCAAATGGCGGTGGCAAGTCATCGATAAGTGTTGTTGGCGGAGATACATCACCCGAATGGCGCCCGAAGCGCAGTTTAATTTTCTTCTTCCACGATGTCATCGCGCAGCCATCCCGGGCGGAGCCGCGACTAGTGTCAGGTGCGTCCCTGTAACGAGTCAACCGTTTTTTTGTTTGTTTGTTCAACCGACCCTCGGGTCGAGGTATCCGGGTACAATCGCTTGCGGCGGCAAGCAGTAGTAATGCAGTGCCCGAACTCAAAGTGCGCCCCAGTTTTGTGTCTCGTATGTATAACTATGGCTGTATATCTGTTTATTTTAACGATATCGCCCACGTGCGACTGACTCTCATACGTAGGTACATACAAAACCAATTGGTATAGTGTCAGTTCTAGTAGCTTTTACTGATTTTATTATGATAATAATTTTCTGTTTTAATGCATTGTGATGCTGTGTTCGTTTAGTTTATACAAAATGTATGTGCAGAGTGACAGGATTTCATATGTTTCCCCACCGACCCCACACTTCATGAGGTGAAGAGCTTCTCCATTGTTCCCATATATAGAAAACAGTGTTTTTCACAATAGCTACCCCACAGTTAGCTCCTAGTATGGAAACCTTTAATAGTATAACCATCAGGAGCAAAACCCAAGATAGCTAGCTAGCTATTCGAATTTGCTTGAATGTTGCGAGACGTCTGGAAGAAATCAACCCCGAGGCAAATCGCCAGTAAGGTATCTTCCAAATAAAGCTCCAATATAATAGCAATAATATTGATATCATGAAAACGAATAATCTAGCACGCAAGACAATCTGTACACCATTATAAAACGATGTAAACTTTTTTGGCCGTTCGAAAATGCCGCCTGGTTCCTGGATGACCACACTCGGCCAACGTACCGTAATTTTATATCACCTCTATTCTCGGTAGCCGGTGGAGCGCTTTCGTAGCCACCACAATTATTTTTCATGCCAAATAACGAAAATCCACCGCTTATTTGTGGTACGAGCTTACGTAATTACTAAACTCAAACTAAATCTGTACCTATTAAATTGGCACATAGGGAATGGAGCTTATAGATGGAAATTTTTCTAACTCTATCATGTGGCAACTACTAAGTCGACGTTACCGATGGCACCGTTAGGAAGTGCTAATATAGTATACGCGCTCTGCATTGGTGGTTTGTTCGGGCCGTCTTTCGTCTATCGGTAATTTCTACTACTGTTTCTGCATGATTTTATCGGCTATTGTCGTTTTTGCTGGTATTTTCTATCCAACGAATGAAGTAACTTTTGTTAAATGACTGCGTTTTTGTCCGCTGCGAGGACTGACTGCTGCAGGCTCAAGGTGCGTCCATTGTCATCCATAACCGCTCAACATAGTCAGTGGACGAATCTCGTCCGTAGTCAATAGATCTGTCTGCTTGGGATAGAGCTGAGACAAGGCCGGTTCTGCTATACTATGAGCAGAAACATTGCTAAACAGCCGAGCAAACGCGCAAACAGTTAGCATCAATCATCGTCATGTTTTCCTAGACCATAGCAGGTGGTTAGCCACACAAGAACAGACGGTGAGGGCGTCGGTGCAGGCACAGTCATGAGGGTGCAGAATACCGTTGAACCACACTACTACATACGAATATTCTTTCATTGTTCAGTGATGATGATCGGTGCTTAAAGCTGACGGGAGCCAACGACTTTTCTGCTGCTGACGGTGCTGGTATTTTTGGGATACACCGACGCGCCAATGGCTCTATTCGTTCAGGCACGGCGGTTCAACCTAGGCTACAACCTAATACCAGAACAGATAGTCTTTGTCCCTCTTGGACCACCCGTAGATCAATAATGATAGTAATTCAGCCCAGCTTAAATAGTACAGCTGGAGCTTTCTGGCCGGCGTTTATCATTGTTAGGTCAATGTCGGCTTGACATCCGCTGCCTGCGTTTTTATTTTTCTTCGGCTTAAGATTCAAGGTGACATTGGTCAATTGATGAAGCTCGCAATCATCCCTGCAGTAGCTATTGTGCGCCAATACAAATCGTAACGACATGATACCGCAAGAATCGTTGCGGCTGTAGAACTTTCCTTAACGATGGCAAAGTGTCTTCCTTATTTGTTCTCGCGTTAGGAGGAGGAAAGCAACGGCCGGCAAACGGACCCCATTTGACGTTATTAAATTAAGGCTATACAAAACTGATACACGCAGCATCAGCGTTACTGCTGCTGTCGATGCCAATTCACCCAGACGACAGTAATTAGCGCGTGTGAGGTCGATAGCGTTATTAGGTAGTTGTGAGTGGACCGTGGCTCAAAGACGAATCTCAAAAAAACGTACGCCCCAGATCTAAATAAACAAAGAATTTCCACGTTTAATCGGGCGTATAGTTGAATCCGAATAGACATTACCTAATTCTACGTCAACTAGATTAACTCCGAGCTATAAACAGCATATAATAAGTTAAGCACAGAGAGATACGATGCTGCTAATGTATGTGCTCGATAACGACGATGCGGAAAAGATTGAACCGGCCGTCTGTCCGCCCGTCTGTATGTACGTCCGAGGGCGTAATTTTACTATGTTTTAGTTTTATTTACGCAGCTAAAATGATAATTATTCAATTATACCAACCACAGTGCTGATAAACGGGTTCCACTCCGCAGTCGTGCAGATCGCTTCGTGTACGGGTACATGCAGTTATAAATTGACAAACATGACGATGATTTAGTAAATGAATAGGCCCATTAACGTACAGACAAAGACGACGTGACCATATGTCTGCCAGGTTCTTGCCGCCCTTGTGAAGTAACGGCCAATGTTTGCTACAGTTGCCCGAATAGCAAACGTCCCACAAACCGTGTCATGGTGAAAATATCTTATAATTTGTCCCATTGTAACGTCGCCGTTACGTCAGATGGCCAGCTTATTTAACCATAGTAAACGATATATAAAATCTATTTTTTTACGCCTTTTGCCTCCTTGACCACTCCGCCATTCCATCTGATTGGCTGATATACGAATTGCAGGCCCTCAAAGGAAAGCGAAGTTCGAGATTACTATGAGTAAATGTCGCGACATTCCAAATTAACCATATATGCATGATATAACGAACCTGCCCTAAGCCGTAAGCAGAAACTGGTTTATTCAGCAAGACATGTCCACGATGGCAAAGCTCTCGTTCTGTTCTCTTGTTGCACAAATAGTGACTGGCAACTCTTAACAGATAAACCAGCCCTGCTACTTTGGGCAAAAAAAATCTCATTTCAATATGGGTTTAGCCCGGTCACAAACCGCTGCAGCCCGCCCGGCTTCCCATCTCATTCCTGTAAACTCTTGGGTCAGATCACTTCTTCGTGTGTATGTATATACATATATTTATTTATTTGTGTACATAATAGAACTAATATCCTGCGCTGAAGTTCGCTATTGATCGCCTATTATAATTCGTTCGACCGCACAAGTTATGATATTGGCTATCTTCTTGTTTGTTCCACCTCGATCACTTGGAATCCGATGACGCTGTTCGTTAGTCTAGTCTATTGTGTATGAATGATACAATATATATATCCATATAAATCTATATGCTGTGGCATACTCCTGGCCTGGAGCAGCTGTTATACACCTCGGTGTTTTTTTATCTGTTTGACAGAGGAAGACTTCATGATGCCGATGCTACCGCGATCGCAATCCTCTTTTCGTTTGACTGACTATATGTCTCGTAGAGCCATTACTGGTACAGGCAAGACTTAATATGCGCGTATACATAAGATACATAAACAGACAACGGTTGAAAATGCTGTGGTGGTAGCGTTGGTGAGTGTCCGTCGTACCGTACTGGTCGTCTTTAAACCGTGACAACAGACAGCAGCATTGGCGACGGCGACGGCGACGGCGACGGCGATGACAATGCTGATAGATGCAGTATGTTTTTGTTCTCGGACAGACCTTTCGACACCTGGACGAGGTCTTTTCTCCTTGCTTTGATTGTCGCGGATCCAATCTCTGTAACAGTAAACGAGCTAATCGACGCCGGGATAGTTTAGTTCGTTTTGGTCGGCCGGTGGGGACCTTCAGTTTCACTCAAGCATCGTGAACGATCGAATTTTTTATAACGAAACTTTACAAATTTAAATAGAGGAACAGCCAATACGAACGCCATGGAAAAGGTTGCTGTCGCTGGACCAACAACGACTCAGACTAAGCCGAAACAATTAGAAACAATTTTCTGCCCTTACCAATCAAAGATGTCGGGAAAAGGAACTTGACATGTGTCGTCTAACTTTTCTTTTGAAGCCGATACGGCACTGTATACTGCGAAGAAGATGATTTCATTGAATTGGTTCCTATTCGCACATATGTGATTTGGAAGCAGACATCCGCAGCTCGTGATGTATCGATATAAACACTTGATCGAGATGTTGAACAGCGGCCTTCAGACGTTTCAGCCAGTGAAAAGACAACTGCGGTTGTTAGCTCTTGTGCCATCTTCATCAAGAAGCAGCTACGTCCTGGGCTAAACCTGCTAGGGTGAAAAGTGACGCCTCGAACCCCACCAATGTGTCGGCAACTACCAGTTAACATCAACGCAATGTAGCCTTCAGCCGGTGCAAGATCTGACCGGTATGTCGGCTATTTTTTTTCGCTGCCAACGATGTACCTGATACTGTAATCTATAGATCTTACGAGACGATCCTGACGAAACGGTGCTAACACAGCGTATCGTCTAACGTCTACCGGTCGAGCACAAAAGGGAAGTAGTGTCATTGGCTTTCTCTAACGGATGACCCACGGTCATGTTTAGTCCGAAAGAGTAGACGTTGGATGGCGGGCGCATAACAAAATCGAGTGCGTAGAGTGGCCGTCCCTGAGCATCAGTCCAAGTGCACGTTACAGAGATACGCATTAACGTGTGTGTGTTATTAGGAGGCAGACGTTGTCGATATACATCAATTCATTTGAATCGCCTGGAAAATGGTAGGTAGCTTAGCGTGCAGAAAGCGGTTTCGATCGTTCTTCTGACAATGACAAAACACAATCGCTGCATTATGGCCTCTTTTGTCGTTTGCTGCACGTGCACGTGTCTAGTTCTTAATAAACATATAAAAGCAGTAGGCTTTTTCAATTGGCCTCTTCTTGTTGTTGTCTTTCAG